AAAAAAAAAAAAAAAGATATGTTATGCAGCATTGCAATAGAAAAATCTTTTGGCTGAGGATCATCTCAATATTCGTGGCCGAGTAAGAGGGGGGAAAAACGATTTTTTTTTTCTTCTTCTTGGGAGGGTGGGTTGGGGTGCGGGGGAGGGGTCAATCAGGATGGTCTGGAGCTATCCAGATTAGGTCTGCCTGGATGTCTGGACTGGTCCGGCGTAGCCATGACTATGGACTGTTTTATTGGACTTGCACAACTCATCAGGAGGAGGAACCGTGGACAATCTGCGGAATCCCCACATTGATGCTTTGAGTCGTAGACTCTTTTAACATTTGTTGAAAGTGGACAGCCTGCAGGCAACACCACAAGCAGAACACGGCAGCAAAGCAGCGACTCAGCAAAGCACAAGGTAACGCTGACGGGGCAACCCAACTGCATAGTGCCAAAGCTAACTCGATGGAACGACAGTGCAAGAGGACGAGCAGCAAGGCAACAGCACAGCAAAGCGCAAGGCAGCGCTGCAAAAGCAGCCAAAACTACACACACAGAAGGAAAAACGCACAGGAAGCCAACGGCACGTGGATGAGCAGCAAGGCAGCGATGTAGCGAGGCACAAAGGGACACCAGCAGGGCAGCCAAACTACACGGCAAATGGACAAGCTGCAGGGAAAAGCATGGCAAGCGGGTGGGCAGCAAGGCAGCAGAGGAGTGCAGACAAGGCAGTCCGCACATCCAACACAGACCAAAGCAATCCATCACAAGTTAAACCCTGCAAAATGTTGGTTCCAAGCATCTGCTGGGCCACGCAGCCGCTCAGAGAAACGTCTGCAATCACCAATAGACCATGTGCACCACAGACACCATGGAGGGAGCGGCCCTTTCAACAGTGCTACAGGCATTCCAAAGATTCGCCACTGACTACTCCGCACTTCTGCGAGGTTCTCGCTTGGACACACGAAGTACTCCGAAAAAATGGGAAGAAAAAAACAAGAACAAGGAGGAAGAAAGAGATACATAAAGATGATTGTGTGTGTGTGTATCGGATCGGAATACGGCACACATTCATCATCACTGTACCGGACCAGAAAGATTGCTTGTATACATCCATGATCAGGGTGCTTAGTGTTCGGTGAGAAGATGGTAGCTAGCCATGTAACAGGTTGAACAGTGAGCGTATATGAAATAACCAATTGCATGTTCAAAGCTGCTAACTAAACAGTTCTGCAGCACCACTACCAGTCCTTTGGAAACTGAGTCTGATGCATTGAAATTCGAAAACTGTGGTTGTTTGAGACTGAACTTGTTTTGTAGCTTTTATGTTTTACCGTTTACGCCGAAATCACACAGTTCCACTCATATGAATGGTGGGAAAGAGAACACTGCCAGTAAATGGGAGTGGCCACTCCCTTGTTGATTCTACGACGTGTCACTACCCATTGCAGTTCATGAGTTGCTATTTTTGGTTACACTGACTCCTTTGTACGTGATGTTTGCGGGTTTTGAAATACTACGAAGTGTGTTGCTAGAGGCTTACACTAGTTCTGCTGGTTTGCTATGATGGTCTTCGTCCTGCCTCTTTGCAGGTTTACAGGCAATGTTTGGTGGTGAAGAAGGCATGGATGATAATGATGCTGATGACGATGATGATGGCGGCGGGGGTGACCCTCATGGTGGAGGGCATTTTGAAGGCGCGTGGGATGATGACACGTGCCTCAATTCTCCTGTCCCAGACGGGAACTGTGGTCCAGACTATGCAGACGAAGCTCCCGGGCAAAAAGCGGGCGACAAATCCTCCGAGCATACACCTGAGATGGACAGATTATTGCCTCGCCCAAGACAGGTAATGCGTCTGCCGAGGCATCTTTTATTGTTTTTTTTACATAAGGGGACAAATGCTCCAGTCTATTCGTGGGGAGCAGCACGTGCTGGGAACCGGGCCCAGCGTCCCATATGGAATTTTTCAAATTGTTTGAGATACTGGGGCCATTACCCGGTTTCGGCTGAGAACAATCTGAGAACGACGTCTGGCGAGGTATCAATTCGACTTTGTCCGGAAATTCGGAAACATGGGACACCGAAACAAACTGTTTTCATATCTCAATGCGTGTGTACCATAACATTGTCATGACAACTTAGATGGCGCTAGTGGCCATAATAGGTACTAACAGGGCTGACTTACCATAAAGCTCTACCAAGCGAACCCCAGCCCGTCAGTGGCTGTCACCCTCCTCCCTTCCCCCTCCCCTGCCCCCCCCTGCACTATTCCCTGCCATATTTCCTACGAATGTGCTGGTATATGCGGGATCACACCCATCGATGCATCCACCAGTGTGCTACATGCATTTTACTCGGCTAAGATGCTGATAAGCAGGTAGCCCAGACGACCATCACTATTGGCACTCTTGTTGTTTGTCTGTCTTCTCCTTGTCTTTGATCCTCTGAACATTGGCTTGCCGGTGACGAGCACCTGGACTGGTACCCCCTAGAGTAGATGGGGCATGTGTGTTGTGTGTAAAAACGAAAGGTAAAAAATAAAGCAAAAGTATGACTTGGTTCAATGGTTGTATTGAAAAAGCAAAAAGTGTAGTCACAAGGAGCACGGGGACAAATTTGTTTTTAGTACTTTTTAGTACTTTTAGTCTTTTACCAATTGGTGAGGAAACCCAAGAAACTGCCCAGCCCACGTTGCGGAATGGTACACAGTACTACACACATGTAACTGTTGATAAACAGATCTAAGTTCGAACCCTGCAATGGATTCAGAATCTTTTCAGATGGACACAATGATGTTAGGGTGCTTAGGGATATCGCTTTTCTTTCTTTTTTTTTTTTTTTAACGAATAATATTCCATTAAACCACTAGTACCTTTGCCGAGTGGAAAAATAGCGGGCCTCTGGTGGGCCTCTGACCTTTTAGGAGGCCGAAATGAAACGACGACCACCGATGAGATTTATCAATGGCAACCATCATCGGGCCCGGCCTACAAACTATTGGGGAGCATGGGTTTTCCCTAATTTCGCAACACTGGCGGAGGTACTAGTGGTTTAAGAGGTTGGAAAACGAGGCCGGGGACCTCACAATTCCACCCGGGGTTATCCTGGAAGCCTTAGCCAGTTTCACTTATGATTGAGATCCACTCGTCTTCCTACTCTATTCTTGTGCGCCTTCTCTGGGGGTTCCTAGCCTCCTCTCAGCTGTCGAAGCTGTCAGGTCTTCGTTATATTCTTGAGTCACACTAGGTCCTCCCCAATGCGGGTCTGTCTCTATGTCTGTCTGCCGTTGCTGCACTGCTGTACTTTCCTCTGTTAGCCCTTCGACATTCCTTTTGCCTTGCCTCTGACCTGCTCTGTTCAACCCTAAACCCTCCATCCTCTGTTCTAAAAAGTCGTCAGGCCAAGGCAAGGACCTCTCTTGTGTCTGCGGATGCTGGGGAGGTGGTTGACAGCTGGTCGTCGTTGTCCTGGTAGTCCCGCTGGGCCCCCCATCCAAGTCTGAGGGTGTTGTTGCCCATTACATTCCCCAATTTGCCGCTGCCCAGCACATCGTTTTTGAACCTGTCGTCTATGTCGCTATTCTTTTCTTTTCTCCTCCTTGTGACAAAAGAACCCAACAACCATCTCGACTGATTTCCAACTGCATGTCTTCCCAACGAGTCTTAGCTCGGTTGGTACACCCATTTGAAATACAGACCTGAGTTGTAATCCAGATGAACTAGATGAATGGCATCAAATAATTCTGAACTATCTCAGCTCTTGCAGTTTGACATTGATATCTCAAGGCTGTCTCCTGCATTGATCCTCACTGCTCGTTACCTGGAGTGCACACACACACACCTGTCTCTTATACACATCTAGATGTGTATAAGAGACAGGTCTTAGCTCGGTTGGTACACCCATTTGAAATACAGACCTGAGTTGTAATCCAGATGAACTAGATGAATGGCATCAAATAATTCTGAACTATCTCAGCTCTTGCAGTTTGACATTGATATCTCAAGGCTGTCTCCTGCATTGATCCTCACTGCTCGTTACCTGGAGTGCACACACACACACATTGAGAGATCACACGAAGTCCACACTGGAGACCAGAGATGCGAAGTCCAGAATAGTGCATCTTAGAAATTCCAACGAATTAACATGTTAAACAGTTGCTGAGTTCCAGTCACCAAGCGCTCAACAGCACAGAGTTCAGCAACTCATATCCAGCATCCTCGTCCAGGAAGGTGACTCTCTTCCCCTCTCTCTCTCTCCCTCTTTCTTCTTCATACATGCTCTCTCTCTCTCTCTCTCTCTCTCTCTCTCTCTCTCTCTCTCTCTCTCTCTCTCTCTCTCTNTCTCTCTCTCTCTCTCTCTCTCTCTCTCTCTCTCTCTCTACTTGAAGATCTTGACTCGGAATACATCCGCTACTACCTGGCTCTATCTCCTACCGTTAGCTATGCGGCTATGGCCGCCTTCCTTCCTCACACGGCGCTGCCCAGCAGGGCCAAGAGCATGCCACTCGCAGAGAGCGCTCAAGCGCTTCAGCAGCACTTCCACACTTCTCACGAATGAGCAATCTGCCTGAAATGTGCTGGCCAGTCCCTGTATTGACTTGGACTGTGCCTTAACTTGTCCCAGTGTGTGCTTCCTTTGGCTTGACTTGGGCCCGGTACCACATGCCCACAGCCTGCTTGCTTCAGAATGTCACGGCCTGGTACTTTCCCGAATTTTCATTGGTGTGCTGCTGCTTGGGTCTGTGAGTCACGACTTTTCACCTGTGGAACATGACTTTTGACTGTGGGATGTGACTCTTGCCTCTGGGACACGACTTTTGCCTGGAGAAGTGTCCTTTACCTGTGGGATATGACTTTTCAATATGAGACGTGACTTTTGCTTATAGAATGCAACCTTTGCCTCTGGGACGTGATTGTTCACCAGGTGCCTGTTGGACTTGACTCCTAAGGTACCCGACTGTGACCTTTCTGAACTGGCCGACTTGGCCTCCCTTGGCCTGAGACTTTGACCCTGAAATTCGAATTTGGGGTCTGCATCGCGGAATGCCTTCCAATCCCTTCGAGAAAGAAAAAAACGAAGGGAAAAAAAGCATATGTTTGAGTTTTGGCTTGTTGTAAAATAGTTCATTTGACAACCTTCTTGCCCCAAACATACTCCCTGGAGATTTTAACGAACAAAAGGCTGAAAACGCCGGGGCACCCAACTTATGCCCGGGTACACACCGGGGTACCCGGCCGGGCATGACCCCCGAGCAGGGTTCTGGGCCGCCTCTGCGCAGTTTTTTTTTTTTTTAATTCACAGCCAGGAGGCTGCGCATGTGTGGGTTCCATTTTCGTCGTTTCATTTCTTTCTATTTTCGGTAAGGTCGTGCAGTACAGCTTCGCTAGGACGGGTTCGTTTGGGTTCTCCAACAGCAGAAAATAGGGTCCGGTCGCAGTCGTCCCTAAGACCGGTTGTAGGGCAGGTTATCTTGTCAAGGTCGTTGCAATCTAGTATAGGGCGCCTTCCATTGTTTCCCTTTTGAGGGATAGACTTTTTTTTTCGGTTGCAAACTGGGGTGAAACGGTTTCACTCAGTTGATCCGACTTTGCAGACACAGAGATTCGATCCCCAGACCTGTGCCCTAACCCTGTACATTGAACCTGTGTGCTGAGTGAGATTCGATCCCTAGACCTATCCTATACCTGTACATAGACCCAGTGACCTGAGTAGGATTCGATCCCNAGATTCGATCCCTAGACCTATCCTATACCTGTACATAGACCCAGTGACCTGAGTAGGATTCGATCCCTAGACCTGCCCTACGTCCTAGGCTAGTCCGTAGGTCGGACAGTAGGACTTGATCCCTAGGTCTGTAGAATAGGAGTTAGGTCTGTTACCGTTAGGCTTAGGAAGGTCTGTTCTAGAAGTCTCTATCTGAGTCTACTGAGGCCTAGAGTCTCTGTAAGTCTGCAGGCTCTACAAGGTCGAAGGTCCCTGTAGGCCAGTCCAGTCAGCAAGTACCAAAGGTAGGGGCTGCACGTGGGGAAGGTTCTGGAGCACGCTGTGGGTTTCACGCCAAACATCTGGAAACTTCCCTGGGCCACACGTTTTGACCCAGGCCCACACGTTTTGAGGCACGCCCGGGTACCTCCAAAGAGGTATAAACAAAGAGGCAGCGTCCGGCCATTCATTCATTCGCCTGTGTGCCATGCGGAAGAGCTGCCTTGGTATCTTGTGCGTGGACAGCAGGTGCCCGGAGAAGAAGTGGGCTGTGAAGAAGACAGCGGCCATAGCGAACCAGCGAGGGAGACACCGACCGCCATAGCTCGGAGGAGGAAGACGACGACGGCCATAGCCGCCCAGCTGTTGGTGTAGACAGAGTGTACAGAGTGTGTGTGGCTGTGCAGCGTGGTATCCTCGTGCATGCGAAGTGAGGCTGGTGGTAAAGACAGTCTTCGGCGGCCATAACCGCAAGTTGTACAGTTGTTCTGAACAGAGTTTAATAGCAAATTGTTGATTCTGAATTTACGAGTTTGGTTTGCCATCGGTTCTCATGTGTGAATGTTGTGAGCAAGTCCAGAGTTCGAGTCTGATTGCATTGGTGTCGGAGCTGGTACCCGTTGTCCACGCTGGCGGAGTTGCAGCAAGCAAAGAAGAAGGAAGGAACCGCCATAGCCAGAGCACAGCAGAGAGAGATAGAGAGAGAGAGGGAGAGAAAGAGATAGAAGAGGGGACGACAGCCATAGCTGCCAAGCTCGGGAGGAAGACGACCAGCAAGGAGAAGAGGCAGACGCAGAGGAAAGGAAGAAGAAAGTGAGAAAGAGGGAGACAAAGTCAGGCATAGCCGAGGTGAAGAAGACGGAG